AGCCAGTCTGAAAACCCAATCTGAAATGACCCATAATGATACTGTGCAATTTCAACTATATGACATTATGGAAAAGACAAAACCATGAAGACAGTAAAAAGATCAGTGATTGCCAGGAGTTGGGAGGAGGGTAGCGTGAATAAATAGGTGGAGCACAGAAAATTTTTAGAGCAGTGAAACTATTCTGTATGACACCGTAATGGTGAATACATGTCATTATACACTTGTCAAAACTCATAGAATGTACACCGAGACTGAACCCTAATGTAAACTATGAACTTTGGGTGATAATGACATGTCAGTGATGGTCATCAATTGCACCACTCTGGAGGGGGATTTTGATAATGGGGGAGATTGTGCCGAAGTGTAGGAACTCTCTGTATTTTCTGCTTGGCTTTGCTGTGAACCTGAAACTGCTATAAAAAAGTCTATTAAAGTTTTTAAAAAAAGGATGAAGGCCTATTGGGTTTGGGAGTTGAAGGTAGGGGATACCTTCAGTGTGTGTTCAGGGGATAAGTGGGCAACCAGTCTGGCTGTGAGAAACGATTCCTGTTGGGACAGCGGGATACATGACCGGAAAAGCAGGCTGGGGCTCTTGCAGATATGCAGACACTCACACTGGCAATGCTTGTACCAGGGTATGGCTTTGCAAGCTGCATGAGATGACCTATGTCCTAAATTAACCTAACTGCCCATACATTTATTTCCCATGGACTGATGAACTTTGAGCAATCTAGTGAAAGTATCATGACTGACTAAATTAGCCTTGAGTAGGTATTTTTTCAATTAAGACAATGTAAATTACATGTTCACATGCATGGTGATTAAGCTTCTGGAACAATTCTTTGACGCAAGTCAAGCATTTTCTTTTCTGTTCTTTGTGCCTGAATTTCAATGAGTGACATCAAAGGCTTAGTTAATCAGGCAGTAGATTTCTTACTCTCAGGAGGGATACCTTGAGCTAGGAGGCAAGAGCTAAGGTTCAATAGTTTGGAAGAAAGCGTTTTGTTGGAACAGACACTGCTGACTCTATCTTTAGAGGAGGTCACGCACAGAGGCACTCACAGGTTCAGAAGGGATCTTGGCAGTGATTGATTCCTAACCTAGTGGTCACCACTTGGGCTGTGCTAACCAGACTAGGGTATTACCTGCTGGTTGTAAGATCCTTTACTTGCTAGTTTCAAACAATGGTGCTTTAATCTCCTCACAGCCATGTGGGTTGGGCAGCGGAAATATTTTCTTGCTCATGACTCCTTGTTTTGTTGGGAAAATGTGTGGTGAGAAGACAAGGACACATGAAGACATAAAGGCATGGTTTAGTTGGCAGGGGAGAAAGGAGACAAGAAGGCTGGGAATGAACCAGAGATTTCTGTAGAGCCAGCAGCATGGGAGATCCACAAGTACCCCAGGGCAGAGGGAGTGGTGGGGTTTGGGGGACATTGGGGAGGGAGTGGGACGCAGCCTGCACTGCTGCTTCACTTGTGTTGACACGGGAAAAACAGATCATAGATGAAGAGGGAAGGGATGAGGAAGTGGATTTTGAGCAAATATTAGGAATGGAGGAAAGAAGATTCTAGCTGAGAGGTGCCATTGCATTTAATTTGATTTGGCTGGGGGCCACTCCAGGAAAGCTGGGGTAGTGACCCATTTTGAGATAGCTCACCTGCGGTGTGGGTGTTCCCATCTCATGCTGGATGGATTCTAGTGGCTAGGCATGGAGACATACCAGACACTGTCTTCGGTCACAGATATGCCAAGTAGTTTGTGAGTAGTCCTTGCTCTGAAGGAGTTATACTCCATGGTGAGGCAGGAGGGAAATGCCGCTGCTGGATTAAGGGGTGTGGAAGGAGAGAGGAAGGAGAGAGTAACAGCCTTGAGACAAGGACCACTGGGGCAGAGCTGGGTTGAGGGATGGTTCCTTAGGCAGTGGCCTGGAGTTGCTGAGTAAACTCCCTCAGAGATAAGCCGGAATGAAGGTGTCCCTTGTCTCAGGTCTCCATGTCTAATTCTTCACTTAGGTGGTGATGGATAATTTAGGCTCCTGTGAAAGTAGGCTTGCCATCAGATGAAAATGAAAACCTTAAGTCCTTGCTGGTACCTATAGGGCTCAGCCTGGCTTTTTGAGATTGGGAGTTCTTAAGTCAGGAGCCACGATGAAAGAGATTTGCTTAATTGAGTAATTCCATCTATCAAAATTATTAGAGGCTTTTTAATGGGGTCCAAATGTGATTACTTAAGAGCTCCGTTGTGGTAATGGCTGGTATTTGTCTACAGGGTCTTTGTAGTGTTCAAAGCAACCCCAGTTCATCCTCTCAGCAGCCTTGGGAGGTATTATCTCCAGGTGTTTTCCCCTTTTGCCAGAGGCCAGTTTTGAGAAATGAGGATCAAGGTCACACAACCAGAAAGTAACAGTCCTAGACTAACACAGGAGGATTGCCACTTGCAACACATTCAGCAGTGTTTTTTTCTTTTTACTCATTAAACTTTTGAAAATTTTGGTAAAATGCACGTAACAAAATTTACCATCTTAACATTTTAAAGTATACAGTTCAATCGCCTTAAGTACATTCACATTGTTGTGCAACCAAGCTCCAGAATTCTTTTTATCTAGCGTTAGAGTTTCATTAAAACACTAACTTCTCACTTCCCTCTTCTGCCAGCCAGCCCCTGGCAACCACCATTCTGCTTTTGTCTCTCTGAATTTGACTACTCTAAGTACCTTATGTAAGTGGAATCATACAGTATTTTTCCTTTTACATTCCCACCAGCGTTGTGCAAGGGTTCCAGTTTCTCCACATCCATGCCAACACTTTTTTTTTCTTTTTGGATAGTAGCCATTCTAATACGTGTGAGGTTGGTTTGCACTTCCCTAATGATTAGTGATGTTGAACATCTTTTCCTTTGTAAGCAGAATTTTAAAGAGGGCCTGTCAGGGTACAGTATCATCATCTGGGTAAGTTCCAGGGCTAATTTCTCAAGAGATTCCTTCAGGGAATAACTGTAGAATAAATGGTCCAACACATTTCAAACCCGTTTAGTGGTAAAGCTTACAGATTTATACTCTTGCTTTGGAAGGAAATTGAGACCTAGAAATATCAAGTGACTGCCAAAGGAGGATGGAGATGCAAAATCTGGAACTTGTAGAAATGAAGGGGGGAATGGTTGAGGCCCTGGGAATGCCCGGGTCCTCAGTACCATTGCTTGGACTAGATTCCAGCCTTCCGGCTCCTGGACCAGCGTCAAGCAACTAGGGTTAGCAAAATCGAGCTGTTTCTCTTACTGCTTCCTTAAAGATTCACAGATGTTCATTTTTCAACAAATAATTCTTGAGCACTTCCTCTGTACCTAGTACTATAGGCTAGGGATAAAGCAGTAGATAAGAGAAATGAGATCTCTGCTTTCACAGGTTATTGTTTGGCTTCAGAAATTTCCTTACCCTGGCAAAGTCAGTAAAATGGTGTTAATCTTTAGACTACCTCTGCAAATTAATTATTATCATTTAAATAATGCGTAATAGATAAAGACAGTTTATTTGAATAGATTTTTCTTGGGGTCCTCTTAAAGTTATTGTTTTTCTTTTCATAATGAATAAGTAATTAGTAGAGAGACAATTTGAGGTTATGTGAATATCCTTTTGTACATCGAATTGTCACTCACTGGTTTTAACTTTCATCGATAATTTCATTTTTTAAAATTTTTATAAATTTTGTGTTTTTCAAAACAGTTGGCATATAATATTAGTTTCAAGTGTACCCATTGTTAATTTTCTAACTCCATTGTTCCTTAAATATTTTTTTTTGCATTCTAGAATGCATGAGCTTTCCCTTCTCCCCCATTTATGTAGGAGTAAGGATGTATGTATTCTTTTGTTATTTAATGGGTTATGATTCATTGCCATTTATTTATTTTGATGCTCTAAGTATCACAGATTTGTCTAGTGAGAACCCTTCAAGCTAGCTTCTCTGTCCTTTGACAGACATATTCTCATGATTCCTTGAGCACTTCCTTATTTTCTGTTCCACTCTCTGTCTTTGTACACTCTCTGTTTTGCGTTGGTCTCATCACTGGGTGGTGATGCTATTTCTGGGGATGCTTGGGACACTCCTACTTGTGGCAAGTCCTCACAGACATTTTCCCCAAGGAGTCAGTGTTGTGGCTGAACTAGCCCTTGTGATTTTTAAGATTGCAAAATGCACCTCAGTAATGATTTATATCAGGGAACTTTGAAAAAGACAAGGTTTATTACTCACAGGTCCTGGCATGCCTGAGGTCACACAGTAAGGTCCTGGGGGGAAGGAGTGAGACAGGGAGGTAGGGGAGAACACCATTCTGGGGTTCTGCCTTTATTGGGGTGAAGGGTGAGGTGCCTAAGGTTTTGCAGGTTCACTCTTTGTTGGTGAATTTAAAACAACAGTAGGAATTAAAGCTCAGGAGGGGAAAAACAGGTGGTCAGTCAAATGGTTAGTTATCCAGGTCAACCAGAGTTTTCTGACAAAGAAAAAGGGAAATTCGTGGGTGGGTGGCTTGGGTCTTTATCTAGTGGTGTAGCTGGTGATGTGTTTGATTTGAACGTCTTTGAAGTGGATGCCTCAGCAATCAAAAGCTTAACGTATGACATTTAAAGTACAATAAAAAAAGCTAGTTGTCATTTACTGACAGTACACTGCCCCAACCTTGGAGTCAGTCATTTCTTTAAGTACCCTTATGGAAGAAGGTACTAAAAAAACAAACAAACAAACAAAAAAAACACAAGATCTGGGCTTTGGAGTGCTCTTTGATACTGGTGTGTCATTGCTTTCAGGCCCTCTCAGCAAAAAGAGCTAGTGTGTGTGTGCATGCGTGTGTGTGTGTTTGCATGTGCAAATATCTAATTTTTAACCCTAGCTGTATATTTAAAATGTAGACTTTTAAAAAACAAAACTCATAAATGTAGGGTTCTAATAAGACACAGATATGTATTTTTGGATAAATGTCACCCTTTTTCTCTTAATTTTTAACAGGTGGCTAAACCCCTTGTTTAAAATTGGTCACAAACGGAGATTAGAAGAAGATGATATGTATTCGGTGCTTCCAGAAGATCGCTCCAAGCACCTCGGAGAAGAGCTGCAAGGGTAAGCAACAGGCAGTGAGGAGAAGGATAAGGAAGAAGGGGAACTTATAAGTGTGTGGCTATTGGTTGGGAGAGGGTATTGCCTTCCTTTGGGCCCTTCTGGAGCCTTCTTCGCCTAACATTGCCCACGCACCTCCCCTCAGGCTGCCCTTGGGCTTAGGCTACTTTGGAGGCTTGGGGAACCTGTGTTTCCTGTGGAAGTGCAGGGAGCCCACAGCAAAGGCCCTGGCCACTGAGATCTGTCCCGGGAGGTGGTATCGCTAGTGAAGTTGTCTGGACTCCTGTTTGCCGTTTTGGGCTGCTGAGCTCAGAGTGCTGTCCATCCAGCAGAGCTTGACAGTAACTTGTTTCCTAAAATAGGGACTTTTTTGCTCCAGGCTCGTTTTTTCTGGTGCTTCAGATAGTGTACCACACATCTTGTAAGAGCCCTGGGAACGATTAGCCAGCATTTATGAGATAGCCATGAGGTCCTGTAATAAGCACTTATCTTTCACTCTGCCACCTCCCCCGTTTGCCCTAAGGCAGGGTGTGCTGTTCTTCACTTCCCTTTGTTTCTCATTGCAGGTTCTGGGATAAAGAAGTCTTGAGAGCCGAGAGAGACTCACGGAAGCCTTCTTTAACAAAGGCAATCATAAAGTGTTACTGGAAATCCTATTTAGTTTTGGGAATTTTTACGTTAATTGAGGTAAAAGCTTTTGCCTACAGTGAATTGTTTTTCAGTATATGTGGATTGCTAGTGAGATGGATGGGACTACCGGGGAGAGGGGCAAGAAATTTAAGGCATGAGAGTAAAACATATCTAGTAAACATGATGTAACTCCGTAGCTGAGTTCATCTTTAGAATGGGCAAATACTTAGATGACTAGACCTTAGGGAGATTATTATTTTCTTTTAAGCAACTAAAATAGAGAGTCATGGAAGGACAGCACTGAAATGAAAAGGCATTTTATACCATGTTAAGACACTTTTGGTGCTCAGTAAATCTTATAAATGCTAAGAATGATCCTTGACCAAAAGAAGATCCTGCAACCTCAAGAAATAGGTGTCCTGCGGTTTGGAAGATGTAAATTTGGACCAGAGCCCAGACTAATAAACATTTTTTAGGTACTCAGCAAATAATTGTTAACTTGACCAAGCCAGATCTGATAAATGCTTTCCAAAGTAGGCATTGTCACCTCTCCCCTTCCCGAGAAACAGAACGCAGGGCCCTGCCTCTGGCTTGGGCTCGAGCTGGCCAGAGCTCCCAAGAACACACAGGTCCAGGCTGCTCGCTTTCCAGTGGACTGGATACTACGAGCCAAAGCCCTCTCTTTGGAGTGGCTCTGGCTTCTTCATGAATTCTGGAGAATATGTACCACATGTATCACCCATCCTGGTTTCTTGTCCCTGGTTGCGGGAGTGGATTGCTGGTTGGAAGGTGGAGTCTTGGTAGCCTGGCATGGCAGAGAGTGTAGGATTGGATGGACAATGGAGAACCGAAGGCAAAAACCATGAGTCAGTGACCTCTATTACCGTGAAAGGCCTCAGGCATGATCCTCTAGTAAGACGTTGTTCTACCTGTTCTAGGTTGGTATGCTGAAAATCTGCCTAGGTGGCTCGTGCTCTCTGTAGGACTTTAGTACTGACTTAGGGACATTGGTGGCCCTGCCTTCGTGTGAGATTAGTAGAAATAGAAGTTGCAGTTGCTATGAAAGGGTTGTTCTAGATGCAGAAGGGCGGTAAGTTGTTATAAGTGCATTTATTGGGGATGAGGTGGGTAGGCCAGTTCATTTGTATGTGGGAAGTGTAGCTCCTGTTTAAAATGGTCTGTTGTATTGAAGGGCACTGTGGGAAGTGGGTAGCTAGGTGAGTAAACTCTGGAGAAAACCAGAGAATCTGTCAGGCAATAGGTGACTGGATGGTCCTGGGAGACTAAAGTTCTTGCTAATGACAGAGGTGTGTTGGCCAGTGTGCCAGACAGTGGGAATGTGTATATGGGGCAGTGTTCCTCCTTTGGGAGGGCACCAACCACCACCTGGATATTGTTGTGGCCTTGCGAAGGGCAGAGTACAGATGCAAATCAGTGGGACTGCTTTGCATCAAAGTTTACTCAAGGGTGGGAGAGGATGCAGGAGACCCTCAGGTTGTCCAGCCTGTTTCTGACCTGTGCACAGGTGTCCCAATGATGGTGTTTCTACATTGTTACAGTAAGTCTGTTTAAAAGAAGTGAGGTGGCGAGTGGGTGTCACTGTAGCCTGTGTGTGCATTTCTTGATCAAATGCGGCTACTGACATCAGGGAGCAGAGCTCTCATGAATTCTGCTTGCCAGGAATCACTGGAGCCTCGCTGTGTGCCTATGGCTCTAGATTGGGGTAGACAGGGGTGAGTGGCCTCAGGGTTTAGTATAGGATCGTGTCCTGGAGTAGGCCTCCCTCTGCTGCCCCCGGATATGTAGTTTCCATTTGCTGCCAGGTGCCGAAGAAGCTGAAGACAGGCAGATCAAAGGGTAGCCCATGTCTCTGGGTTTGAACTGAGCTTCTGGTTTTCCTCACTGTCCTGGACTGCTGGCTTCTTGGGGTGGGGTCTCTAAGCCCTACATGGTGACTAGATTCCATCTCAAAATGAGCTTCGAGTCTTTGCTGGGCAAGATTTTGGAGAACTTGACACAGAGACAGAGGCCACAGGAGCTGGGGTTCTTCTTGAGAGAGGATAGGCCCCACTCTGGTGCTGGGATTTCAGAATTGTCCAGTTCCAGTAATACTTATTGATGGAGGATCTAGGATGGCTAGGACTGGGGGGCTGAATGAAGGTGCAGCCAGCTGGTAGAGTGTTGGGCCCTCTTTTAGGAGGTTGGTTAGTTATGGCAAAAAAGTGGAGAATAAAGTAACTGGCCAACATGGGGGCTCATCCTCAGTAGTATTAGTATTAATTAGTAGGAGTAGCAGCAGTAATAGAGATTCGTACTCAGTTAGTAGTAGTAGTACTGACGATGTTTCAATAAGGGCTCATACTCAGTGGTGGTGGTGGTGGCAGCAGCACTATTTGTGTAGTAATTATAGTAAGTATTTGAAAAATGTCTATCAAGAACTGCTATGAGCACTTTACATGTAATATTATTTTATTCCTTTGGCTAACTCAAATGAAATGAAAAATATTATTATTCCCATTTTGGAAAAGAGGACACATAGTGACAAGTAGTTAACATATTGTGCCCAGGGTCACACAAAGCATAAAGGAGAGTCAAGATTTCTTCTTGGGCACTCTGACTTATGAGCCTGACGATCTCTATGACTGATAGCTTGTCCTGTGTCTTCAGGGTCTCAGATACATGCATCTTGATTTTGGCCTAGGAATAATAAGTAAGATGCTAAGAACTGCCTAGAATAGGAAGTTATATTGGGGATTGTAAATTGGGGTGGAGTCCAGGTGGCTGTGTCCCCTGGGTGCTGGAATTTGCTAGGGTGTTGACATTAGCAGTAGCACCATGGTGCATTTATATGGACCAGGAGCCTTGAAGAAAGCCACCTTGGCTCATTACTGTCAATCTCAAGTAGGTACAGTTTGCCTGCCCTGGTGACCTAAGTTCTTAAACATCCATTCACACGACACCATTGCACATTGGCTCCTTGAGACGGACCAGTGGAAGGCAGTGGTCTTGCATGGGACTCAGATGATCTGGGCAAAGACCAAGTTCTTTATGTAGTTACTTAACAAGAGCGCCTGGTTCACTGCTGAGAGCTGGTATCTCTGTGAATTTTGGAGTGGGTGTGCATGTGTTCGGTAAGGATGAGAACCCCCACTCAGTCACTAGTGTGGGGGGCAGTTCTCCTATTCTGATGTTTGAGCATTTCCCCATTTGCAGAGTGTGCACCAGATCTGGGGTATTATGGTGACAGGTGGGTGGAACCAGTCAGTGCTGGTAGCAGATAAATCAGATGGGATTTCTCTCAGGAGGGTGCTTGCTTGATTGCCCTGTGTTCAGGCCAATTTCTTGGTGGTTTATGCTATAAAATTAGACAATAGCCTAGAATCCCTGGATGAGCATGGTGACTAGCCTATGATGCTCATTCTAACTTTTTTTCTTTAAGATAATACCTAGCAGAACTCAGTTCTGATGCAGTGAAGTTCAGGGATTTCTAGGGGTCATTAGGGCTCAACTAGAGTAAACCGCGAATATCTTTTTTTTTTTTCTGGCAGCCAAAAGAAGCTTGCAATCCAACACAAATATTCTTGTTTCCCTAGACTTGGCTATTGAAACTCTCCTGTTTTGGAGAAATTAGAAATGATTTCTTAGGGTGAAATGTTATATATCAAAAATAATTTTCAGGTGCCGTTTGGGTTTTTAGTGATTAAAACTAGTACTGAGTTAGATGGGATGAACATTAGTTTAATGATTGATTTCATGAAGCAGCTTCCCATTTTGTGATCTTATATCTATGCTGCTTGTTGGTTTTTGTATTTTAGCTGGTGGAAGATCTAAACTCAATCCAGGATTTTCTTAAAAGCTCGAAGTTGAGGATTATCCATGATTTCTAAGCAGTGCACTGTTATCAACCAGAGCACAGGCAAGGCCTTTCCCAGGCACTACTGGCAGCATTAGTGGGAAGAGGCAGGGTGATGCCAGTCTAGGGCAAGGCTTCTGAGGTTGGGATTTTGAAGTAGTGAAAACCTCTGTTCCATGAGAATTGAGGACTGATTTGATTGTAGTGCTGGGAGAAACAAGTGCCAGGCGGATGATGAATGTGGTGCTCTCGTAGACCAGCACTAATTGGAAAAAAACAGCTGGTGAGTTCCCAGCATTCCTGGCCCCTGTGTGCACCTCTGTGGGGACAGTGGTGGGAAAGGAGCAAGTCTCTGCCTGCCCAGAGCCTTCAAGGTAGAGAGGAGGAGCCTGAAGCCTCTTTAAGAGCCAAACATTGACAGAAGCCACCTCCCAAGTCATGGAGCCTTTTCTTTGAGAGTCGAGGTCTCTCCCTGCTGGTGTGTCAAGTGGGATGGCCTCAAAGAACTTATGTGGGTTCTCCAGTTCCCTTCCCCTGAGAGAAAGAGTGGACTGGGGTTAGGTCCTATTCTAGTGACCCTTAGAAATGACTTTGGTGGCTGCTGGCCTTTACCTGAGGCCACTTTGGCTGATTGTCTTTGGTTTAGGTGGAGGCTGTAAGAAGGTGAATGTTTATGTAAATCTTCATGTTGGAACTCAGCTGATGGGCAAGAATTAAACAGACAAACAAAACCCTCTGAGTAGAGTTTGTATGTTGACTTAGGAGCTGATTCCCAGAGAGCTGTACAGGGCCTTTGCATTTATATTCTAGCTCTTTCTTCCAAGTGTCCCTCACCTCTGCTCAATCCAGGAGGCTGAGGAGTAGCTGCTGAAGAAACTGTGGACCAGGAGCAACCATTGAGGACTACATAGCAAAGGAGAGATGGAGGAAGCATCTAGAAAAGTGTGCAGGAAACCTGCAGAGCAGACCTGTGTACTTTTGCTGGTTCTTGGCATATAGCATTAGCGTAGTAATAGCCACAGTGATGATCCTGAGTCATCAAAGGTAATGCTTCTCAGTTCATTTTCTTTAAGAAGTCGAGGAAGTGAGGGGCTCATTTAAAAAAAAATTGCATTCATAAAAGTTAAAAAAAGATCTGCTTAGAAATGAAACTTCTAACTACTTTCTAGAAAGGTTGGCTTTTAGGAATGACTTCTGTCAATAT